CCCTCTAGTCAGTACTTACCACATAGTCGATACTAAGTCCAGAAGGGTCCACAAAATCTTACACAAGAAACTATTACTTTGCACAGGACAAGCTACAAGACATTATCCAATATCTCTGTCTGCATCCTACAAGAAGATCCAGTTAAGGATTCCATATTTACAATGAAGTAATCTAATATTAGTGTATTATGTTAGTATCTTTTGGAATTAGGTTTCATTTACAATCAATTTTAAATATACTGTTAAATTACGGACAGGTTCTTAGTGAATGGCAACTGATTTTCATAGATTCTTTGAAGTAAATTAAATGTTTAAAATTATGAATTGCCAAAATTTCTAACCACTCTTACTGATGCATTTCCAACAATGAAGAGCACATACCATAATACCAAGTAATACATACCTACCCTTTTTAAGTAGAACAGCTTCATTACAATTACAGTTTTTGCTGTGAGTTTTGGGGGTGTGGAGGGGTTGCATTTGGGGAGTTTTTTGGTATATGAAAAATCCCACATGTGAGAGCTGGAACACAGCTACAGCACAGGCTTCACCTTCCACCCCATCACTGCCGTAGTAACCTGCATTAGTTCCCACCTAGAGGGACCTCTGTTCAGAATGGGTCATGAGTTTGCTGAGCAAGCTTATTGACTGCATAGCCCTTGTTTGAATACAAAAAATATTATTTGCATTATTTTTCTAGTAATCCGGGTATAGCTAACTTTCTACTGACTTTTCAAGCCTGTTGCAAGTCAACATCAGATTCTTCAGGAAACCTTACCCTGCGGGGGGTAAGGGTTTGTTCCTCTAGAGTGTAGAACAGGCTTTCCACCATGCTGTTGAGTCTTCAGAGGATTGTGGCAGAGGAATGGCTTCAGCTATGACCCACTTTACATTTGCTTTTTCATAGCATCACAGACTGTAGGCAGTCTAACATCACTGTCTATACAGTCTAGTGGTGGCAAGTAGTCTATGTAGTGTCTACATAGACAATCTAGTGGTGGCAAGCTCTAATAAGGATGCTGTCATTACAGTTGTAATTGGTTTGTGCATATGCATATATGTATACATATTGCATACCTTATTTGCGGGATTTGTCCCTAATTATACCAAGAAATATATATAAATATGGGTCTATATTGTCAGCTCTAAAGAGGACAGAAGAAGAAGTTTATTTGTGTTGTGATCACAGAAAATGTTTAAAGAACAACGAATAATGAGGGTTACGTATTTGCTAATAAAATACGAAATATGCAAGTATATAGGAGTTTATGCCCAAGCATGAAAGCTCAGTTCTTTGAGCAAATGAAGCTAATATCCAAGCATGGCTAGATGAATAGAGAGAGAGGAGGGTGCAAGAACAGCACCATATCATATTCAAACAAATTCAGTTGAGAAGAGGAGAAAAATTGAGGAACTAGAATCAAACACACTGTTTAGAGGTAGAAAATTATCACAGATCTCCTAAGCCATTCAGTCCCCCAAAGTAAACTATTTCTTTAAAACCATTAAAAAGCAGTGGAACATATGAGTATTTCCTAGTGCTCGACTGATGCTTGTAGTGGATCAGAGTCTTGCTGGCCTCGTCAGCAATGCCATCAAATTGGAGGAGACAAAAAGGTAGAAAAAAGTACTTTCACAAAGATCCACAAGGAATAGGATGGTCACCTCGAATTAGTCCAAAGTCACTGCACAATTTAGCAGGGTTCACAAGGCTTTGTCCAATGACCTCTAAAAGTTCTAACCTGGGAGATGAAGCACATCAAGACTAAGATGTATTCGCAAGGCAGAAAAGGAAGGTTTTGCTAAATCTGTTTGCATGCAACCTTCAGCTCATTGCTTTGAGTTGCTCATTGTGATGTTATCTTGTCATTGAACTGCAAGACTGAGGAGCGCATTCTTTTCCTGCCTTTATTATCAAAACGTTGTTAAACTTAAAAATTGGTGGGGGAGGTGAAAGATTGTTTTTCCTCAGTTCTTTAACCTGTAGTACTGAGGAGAACGTATGTATAGCTTTATCTTAAGCACAAGCTTTGGACTTATTTTAGCAAGGTCAGCCTTGCCTCAGAAGCAGATCTGATTACCTTTATGTCTATCCTGAAGAGAGGTCCCAGAGTAATATGAAATTCTCTCCATACACAAGGGTCAGCGATAAAGTAATAACATTTATAAGGATGTCATGGCAAAACAAGCACCAGAAGTTAATTCTAGTTCTTGAGATTTACAGTCAACATTTAGAGTGATCATTTGCTAAACAGAGATTGATTTTTAAAAGTTACTGAGGGTGATAGTAGATAGCTACTAATACTGGCTTATTCAGTCAGAGAGCTTGCTAATGTCACCTGACGTCTAACCTAACTTTAACCAGTAATTGTAAGGCCTAAGAATGCCTGCCTATATTTGATGGCTTTTATTTTATTTGCCTCCAGAGTAGTCTTATGAAGGTTTCTGTCCCATCTTTCCTTTGATTACTTTAAACCTAAAATGAGCATAACATTATAAATGTGTTATACAGGGGTAGAGACCATGATTACTCCTTTTCACTACCAATTCTTTGTGATAAAGAGATTAGAATTTGGTGAAGAACAGCCCTAACTTGTCTTTTTTCCTTGCTAGTTAACAAATTTGAAGGAAAATGCAAAAACTAAACTTAACAACTACTCTAAAGTTATCTGCCAAAATACTGCAGCTGAACCTCCCTTAAATATACTAATGAAGTTCCTAGGTACCATGCTAACATAACTGATGATGAGAATATCCAAGAAGAAGAAAAGACCCCACAGATTTTATCACAGTACTAAAATATCATATTTATTTTTTTCTTATCCCAGTGCAAATATCCACTAAAAATAATTAAAACTTGCCTTTTATGAGAATAGCAGCTGAGAACTAGAGGTTATCAATACTTTTTCAAAAGCAAGTGGTACATCTTCCCATAGAGTTTATTAGTCTGAGCTTCTTTATATGTAGACAAGGATATAAAAACAAGTTATTGGGTTTTTTGGATAAAATGCATTGTAAGCTGACGCTGGGATTTATTCATCAGCAACTTAACTGTCATCTGAAAATAATAATTCCATAAAGTATTGTAGACCTTTTAATAGGTGTGTTATTAATAGCTTTTCCCCAATACCAGTGACCATCTGTGACTGCTTCACCATCTGTGATTGCTATTTCAGTTTGGGAGGGGGAAATAACAGTGGTATTGTACTGAATTTACAATATAAATTAATAGCCAACTAGACCTACTGTAGTCAATTATTTTTCTTTGATTATAAGTACACATTGGGCAAGAGAAAATTAGTGCCTTTGATTTGTTGGTACAACATGGGTTTGGGAAATGGCCACAGCAAGCTGAATACAAATTAAATTGCATTTATTGAAATCTGAAACATGCAGAAGTTGATGGAATTTAGATGAAGAGGATGAAAAGAGCTTAAATGGCACTTGAAAAGGTAGTGAATGTTTCTTTAAAGATCTATGACAAATGATGTGTTGATTATTGTGATTTGCTAAGGTTAGGTAACAGGGGAGCATCAAAAAAGAGTTGTCAACACTTTTTAAAAACTTTTACAATTTGTTGACAACATATTAGAATAAACAGAGAAAATCATAATTTATAACCTCCTAATTAAAATGAATCTTGTTGACTTCTTATCTAAGCTAAGCTTTATTTCAGAAGGAATTCCATTTGTAATTAATAACAGTTAATCCTTGCCAAAGTGCTGTGCTTGCCTGCAGAGAGAGTCAAGTTGGTTGATATTCTTTTTACTTCCCTTATTAAACTCTGCTAAAGTGTTTCCATATTTTGCTATTAACATGGCTGCATTCTGTAATGGCTGAGGTGATTATTTTTAGTGTATGTGTATAGATCAATCCCTTTTCCTTTACTAAGGCAAAATTGTAAGAAGCTACTGGGGAGATAGGATGCAATTTCAAAATTATTCAAGTACCACTTCTTAATGTGTCTACATTGTGTGGGAGCCTAAATTTACTTCAAAACTAAAAATAACCTTTCAAAAACCCTAGTAATTTAAGGCACAGTTTAGATTGCATTTAACCACTTGCATTGCCTGCTTTCCTAGTTGATGAAGAGAGATAGGCACCTCCAAAAAATGACTCATCAGCCTAATAGATCAGGGTGAATCACCCTTCTACTATTAACTGTGGGGAAGTTTGGACATCTGGACTGAACTAGATTCCTAGTATGCTGCTTAACTTTTTTTAAATTTTAAACTGTAGTTTTGGAACTGAAACCAATGTCACTTAAGAAAGTCTTCAGTGAACTGAAGAAAGCTCACACCACTTTTGTAAAGCACAAGAATCTTCCCTGAAAATATATATGTAGCAGTAGAAGTGAGGCAAAAATAACAAGGTGGACTGAGGACTACCTGTTGTACCAAGTGCGTTGGCACCAAAAAGTCCTGCTTTGGTGTCTGGATTTCAGTACTAGTTATAGCTGCTCAGTATGTGCTCAGTGTCTGGCTCAGAGACTTCTATTTGGATGTACAGGTTATATATATATTTATATATTAATATGTATATACGCACATTTATAATTATACATATATTTTTTCTACTAAATGCTATAAAAAAGGAAGGTGTGTAGATCTATATATATACCCCTCCCACACACACATGCATTGTATATGTTTATGTATATGTGTATGGAGATTAAAGAAAAACAAATAAACTTTCAAATGACAGTCAAGTCCATTTCAAGAATAAAAAGTGGATTTTTCAGTCTCAAGCTAAACAAAGTCTTAGCGAGTGTCACCCTTGTTTTGCATTAGATTGCTTATTTTCCTGACCTTTAGCAGACTGCCAGCATTTTTTCATGCCGTTTTCTGTTGCTTATTCACAGATACCACAAGCTTCCTCTGCGTTAGAGAAAGTATGTGGTTAAAATATAAAACCATGCCATGAAAATATTTAAACGGCTCATGATTAATTTGTGATCAAGCCTCCAGAGTAGTGATTCATTCTTGTTTCTTCTGTTGCAGACAAAAGGTTCTTCAAGCATAACTCCATCAGGCACTCAAAAGAAGGTGAAGAGGACTCTGCCCAACCCACCTCCAGAGGAAGCAACAGCAGGAACTCAGTCACTATATACCTCTGTGGGATCAGTTTCACGCAGAAGGATTTGTAGGACCACCACTATGGCCAGAGCCAAAATTCTTCAGGATATAGACAGGGAATTGGATCTGGTCGAACGTGAATCAGCCAAGCTTAGGAAGAAGCAAGCAGAGCTAGATGAGGAGGAAAAAGAAATAGATGCCAAGCTGAGATACTTAGAAATGGGCATTAATAGGAGGAAAGAAGCCTTACTAAAAGAAAGAGAAAAGAGAGAGCGTGCCTATCTCCAAGGAGTAGCAGAAGAACGTGATTATATGTCAGACAGTGAAGTTAATAATACCAGGTCAACCAGAATAGAAACTCAGCATGGCTTGGAAAGACCACGTACTGCACCCCAGACAGAATTTAACCAGTTTATGCCACCACAAACCCAGCCAGAAACACAGTTTGCCCCTGCTACAAGCCCATATGCTCAATATCAATATTCATCTCCGGCCCTGCCAACTCAAGCACCAACTCAGTTCACACAGCAATCACATTACCAACAACAGCAGCCTTTGTATCACCAGCAAGTTTCACCCTATCAGACCCAGACAGCTTTCCAAACAGGAGCTGCTATGTCCTTTACTCCACAGGCTCAACCTCCACCATCTCAACAGTCATCGTATCAACTCCCATCACAGATGATGGTGATACAGCCAAAGCCAAGGCAAACCCCATTATATCTGGAGCCCAAGATAACGACAAACTATGATGTAATTCGCAATCAGCCTCTCATGATAGCACCAGTTTCAACTGACAATAATTACGGCGTTTCCCAGCTGGGCAGTAAATACTCTACTTTGGATTTAAGGATAGGACTAGATGAGAGAAACAGCATAGCAAGCAGCCCTATATCAAGCATATCTGCAGACTCGTTCTATGCAGATATAGACCACCATCATACGGCCCGAAATTATGTGCTGATTGATGATATAGGAGAACTTACTAAAGGAACAGGGGCGCTTGGTTCCAGTTTTAGCCTCCATGAGAAAGAACTGACCAAAACAGATCGATTGCTTCGCACAACTGAGGCCAGGAGAGCACAAGAAGTGTCAGACTTCCTAGCACCACTGCAGACTTCTTCTAGGTTACATTCTTACGTTAAATCTGATGAAGACCCAATGGAAGACCCTTATGAGCTCAAACTTCTGAAACATCAGATAAAACAAGAGTTCCGTAGAGGTGCAGAAAGTCTTGATCATCTGGCTGGCCTGTCACAGTATTACCATGGGGAGGGCAGCTACAGGCATTTTCCAAAATCTGAGAAATATAGCATAGGTAGGCTTACTCTTGAGAAACAGGCTGCTAAGCAGCTTCCAGCAGCCCTCCTTTACCAGAAGCAGTCAAAACATAAGAAAGCTTTGATAGACCCCAAATTAACAAAGTTTTCACCTATCCAAGAAAGTAGAGACCTTGAGCCTGACTATTCAAGCTATATGACTTCTAGCACTTCAACACTTGGGGGAATTACTACTAGGGCAAGGCTTCTTCAGGATGATATCACATTTGGCCTTAGAAAAAACATCACTGAGCAACAGAAATACATGGGGCCACCACTGACTTCATCCGTTGGAGCAGGCCTTGGGACTGCACTGGGTCCAACAATGAGATCCACACTACAAGATGAAGCAGACAAGTCTTATAGCAGTGGTAGTAGATCTAGGCCCTCATCTAGACCCTCCTCAGTTTATGGGCTTGATTTGTCACTAAAAAGGGATTCTTCCAGTTCTTCTTTAAGACTGAAAGCCCAAGAAGCTGAACCCTTAGATGTTTCCTTTAGCCATGCAGCACCTTCTGGAAGAACTAAACCCACCAGTCTACCTATTAGCCAAAGCAGGGGAAGGATCCCAATTGTAGCACAGAACTCAGAGGAAGAGAGCCCACTAAGTCCTGTTGGCCAGCCAATGGGAATGGCAAGAGCGGCAGCTGGACCCTTGCCACCAATATCTGCAGATACCAGGGACCAGTTTGGATCAAGCCATTCATTACCTGAGGTCCAGCAACATATGAGGGAGGAGTCACGGACTCGAGGCTATGATCGAGATATAGCCTTCATCATGGATGACTTCCAGCATGCCATGTCAGACAGTGAAGGTAAATCAGGCCTCAGACTGGTATCTTACTATCACAACGCAAATCCTCATTTCTATGCATGTGTCTAATTTTTGTTATACTTCAAAGACTTGTTCTTTTCTCTGTTCCTTGGTGCATCTTCTGTGTATCTACATTTTTGGGCTTTGATTTTTTTGTTTTATTTGATATTTTTTATTTTACCCTAACAGCAGTTTCTGGATGGTGTTAAGCTACTCTAGCATGCTCACTACATAGTTGTTGATTTGCTTTCCTTTTGGTTTGCTTGTGCATTTTCCTTTTCACTTGTTGATGTCTACTTTTCTGATGATACTGTGTAGAATATTCCATGTACGATACAGTCCCTACCATCAGTCTTTACGTGGAGCCTACTCCAGTGACTGTGAATCATTGAACTTATTTGCAATAGTTTTTGTTGGGATTTGGAAATAATCTCCCAAATCTCTAAAAAACTCTAGTAATTTTATTTGCATGAAATTTCATGATAGAATTCAAGAATTGACAATTCCATCTCCCGATGCACCACATTAGGTCTGCGTATATATAGAAATAGTGTGTTCATTGAATACGTATTGTACGTTAGAACCATATAGAGCTTAACGTGACAGCAAAATAACGTTCTACATATGGTTTGTTGAAAACATCCTGTCATGTGGACTTCTGTGCATTCAGAATTGTGATGATGTAAGATAATTTGTCATTTGGATGGTGCAAGACAATCTCATCCTTCAATAAACTTGCATAAAGTATTTTACTTCTTCTGATGATTATGCAGCGTAGCTGGTTTTATATGCACCCCATACAATATGTCTGCCAAATAAGCACAAGAGTTTATCTCACTTAGGTTCAAGAAAGGAACCTTTCTGATGTATTATAAATGGTGCAATTAAAAATGTTTCTTCTGAATAAGTACAGCAGAATGTTAAAGCTGGTTTTGGGTACTAAATAATTGCAAATTATGTATCAGTTCTGTTTGAGTCAGTTCAGATTTAATATATTCTAAATTGTTTAAAAATCAGACAGACAGTTTGAAAGAAAATGATATTTAAATGTTCAAAATTGTATGCGCTCCCTTAACTTTTTCTTATGTGTATTTACTGCACAATAAAGGAGACTTTGCATGCGCTATATTGTCTGTAAATGGCAATGATTGTCTCAAAAGACACATCTGCATGATTATGAAGTAGTATGGTTTCTTTTTCAGGTTTATATTAACCTCAGTGTTCATTATTGCATTATTGCCTTTTTACATATGCTGAATCTTTCATAAGCATTAGCAAATTGAATCTATTTGCCTTCCTGATTCTACAATATGTTGAAGGGTTTGTTCTCTTAATTTCTTTTCATATTTTGGGATATTTACAACCTCCTCATGAAGCCTGTGTTTCGGGTTTCAGGAGAGGTTCGGGACCATCAGCTTTTATGATTTTTATCAGAAGTTTAAGTGTTTTCACTGTTCTTAAAGTCTTAGCACACGGAATCCTGTAATTACATCTGAAGGCAGTTGAGAGGAACTCCACAAGTTGCAACTCATATAATCCTTCTTAAATAAGTAGATGTTATCTTGTCTCAACTTGTGACTTTTAAGGGTCATTCTAGGGTCACATTGTGAAAGATAAAGGACTTCTCCTCCTGAAAACTAAGGAGAAGCAAATTGGACCAAAGAAAGCCTATTTGGTACTATTCTACCTCATATAAACAGCTCATAGGGAATTCTATTTCTGCACTACAGTGCATTATGTTTCTGTTATATATTTGCACAAGGCATACATGTTACATTTTAGGCTGAACATGTTTTGTTCTTAAATTAGTCCCTTATTACTTACACTCTTTCAGAAGTATTCTAACTCAATTCATATGTTCCTTATTAGATTGACATGTCCCTGAATACCAAGGCTTCTCCTTTCAACAGTATTTTTCTAATTTCTATCAAGCTTTTGTTTCTTCACAAAGAGCTTATTTTTGCACCATTTTATGTGAAGTCCTGGGAAATCAAAACATTTTATGACCCTATTTTCAAATATGCTGTCTCATAGCAAGTAACTTGAATTGAAAATAATTCATATAATTTGGATGTAAGATAAAAAATTTTCCAAAGAAGAAATTACAGTTCTTCCAAAAGTTATGGCCTTTTCTCTGGGCTGCAGTTTTCTCTGTAGTGCCCTCACAGTGGGCAGCTATTCTGGTGTGTTGCATCCAGCCTTTTAACACAGTTTTCTTTTTTATTTTTTTTCTAAACAATTGCTGCAAGGTGTTGATGAGATTTCATTAAAAGAAATAATTCCTAAGTACTATCTCAGAGAAACTCTTCTTATGCTAAAGCTTGAATTTTCATCTTTAGAGACTTTTAAAAATGAAAGTCAAATATTAAATTTAAATTGTTTTCTTTAGTTCAAACTGAGAGGTGTGCTTGACTTTCTATTCATTTTTTATAAGTCACATTCCAAAAGAAATACCAGAAGACAATACAAATAGGTCTTTGAGGCCAAACCTTCTGTTTTTCACTAAGTACACTCACATACTGTAACAAATCTTAAAACCATGCTTCAACATATAAGTAGTACTTACACAAGGATTCCAAACTTTAAACAGGTTAAAAAAATGGCTTTAGTGTCAAAAGAACAAAACATCCAGAATTTGCCTTTGAAAATAAACAGCATTCTGAGCTTTTGAAACACCTGGTATTTTCTCAAGTTGCGAAGTACCATGAAAGCTCTGATCCAGCAAATAGTTCTTTATTAAACCCAAAGCTGCCACAGTTTCCATAAACTATTAAGTATGTTGAAGATACTAATTTTCAAGGATGCTGAAGCTAGTGCTCCATTTTATGAATGTGAATAATCCCTGCTGGTCAGCTGAGAAGATATAAAAGGTACTTCCCTAACGGATTTTTTTTTCTTTTATATGCGAATTTGTTAATCCTACCATAGAGCTTAGAACTTTAAAATCGAGGTGTGAAGATATCAAGACATCAGCACAGCTGACCTCTTGTACTTTTTCATCTGTGAGATTTAGAGTGCTCACTGTTAGTTCTCTGAACAAGTTTCTTGGACTCCACAGCCTGCGAGTTCAGTCTCACCTTTGTTAAAGTGTGTGCGGTTAACAGCATGGGACCTTAGTGACTCCAGCAGGAGTTTTTTACAGGCGGGACCATTGGGCTGCGTATTGTTAGTCTTAGGAAAAAAAGGATATATCCTCTAAGACTGTCAGTGATTCATCTTGGCTGTTCGCAGGTTTCAGAAGAAACAAATCCCACGCCAAAAACCATTGTGTGTGTATGTACCTATGAGTGCGGTGTGTGTGTCTATATACACATGCATACATACCTTTTTAAATTTCATATAAAACATGCACATTCATCACAGCTTGATAAAAAGTAGGTTGGTCTGAACTGCAGTATGGGATTCTACATATGTGCTAGCTTTTCAAGAGAAGAAATCCAGCAAAAGTTATTTCAGCTGAGATGGGAAGAGAAAAAAAATATCATTCTTTCTTCTGCTCAGCTAACGACACAGTTTGCGATAGTCAGCATCAACGTCTGGGATCAGGAAAATGCATTAGGTTCCTCAGGTGAGCTTCAGTAACAAGTTCTGTCAGGATGAGTTATGAACCAGCCTGGCACATGCAGGCACTAATCAATTGGCATAAATGTCTAAAGCATAAAGGATTTGCATATTAGATCATAAGGATTTATTGAGAGTAATTAATCAATAACTGATCATTAGCCAGACAAGCATCAACCTTTAATAATGTTTCTATTTAATTCATATATGCTGATCTAAATAATATTTTCAAACCATTTTGTATTAAATCAAATTTGTGCATAGTTAGGAAGGAAGAGACTGCATAATATCTGAACCAAGATTAAGAATTGTCCAAAGGCCTAATATAACATAGGAATTTTTTTACCGCATACAAAATATTATTTTTCAAAAATCATGCATATATTATTCTTCATTTTGGAGAATTTAATGAAATAGTAATGAAAAAACAAAACTTTTATTTTTTCCTGCCATTAAACTTTTTTCCAGTTATTTTTTAAACCAACTACATTATGTTTACTTTAACAGCTAAATAGAGAAGATTATGCACACTACTACCATTTTTCCTTTTTAAATTCTCTTCTGTGTCATGGAACAATTGCATTCACTCTTGTTACTATAGCAACAACTGACCTTATTTAAGGTTTGCAATTTCGGTGGTTTTGCTGAAACAAATATTGTCTGTCTTTGAATTCCAAATTTATCTTGCTTATTAAAGCATAAAATTCAAACTTTCATTACATTCTAATTAACTCTACCTTGTTTTGATTTACACTGATGGACAACACAGATGAAATCTGTTGTGTAGTGGAAATATTGTTAAACACGTAGTTGATTCTGATCCCGATGGAGTGAAACGTTTGTTAGTTGACCCAATAGTCAATAAGCATAAATATATGTATTTGCAAAACTGATTTCAGTCAGCTGGTGTTATTTGATCCCCAAAGGGTATCTAACACAATGGATTTTATACAGGTTAAAAAATGTTACAAACAGAAGAACATTAATCTTACAGAGTTATTGCAGAAAGAACATTCTGGCTAAATTTCCATGCGTAAGAAGGCTCATACTGCAAAATCGGGGGATGGAATTCAAAATGAGAACACTTGCAATATTTCTGCTTAGAATTACAAGGAGTGTAGATTGCTTCATATCTTCTTTGATTTGGGATGATAGTGATTTCATAAAAGAGTCTCAATTTTCTTATAAGTACTTCTAGATTATTTGCCAACGTATTTTGAAAAACAGTCAGTTCAGAAACTTGGCTATTAGTGGACACTGGGTTTTGAGGGTTTGTCTTTTGCATTTTGTTTTGGATTTTTTTTTTTCCCTAGCCTACTGCAAAGTAACAATTTGACTAATTTTTTTCATCAAACATTTTAGAAATGTGTGAAATCTGCAGTGTATTTCTGAGCTGCCAGAAGGAAGGAAATGGCTATAGCACTCGGCATTGGGTTTCTTCTGGTATTTAATATCCATAGTTTTGACATAAGCAGAATCTTCTCACTTTGCTTTATCACTTACAGCTAAATTATGCTTGAGTTCAATGTCTCAAGTCCTGACTGTAACTTTGCTTTAGCTGCATGGCCAGTTAGTAACCACTATGCATGTTTGCTATGCACAATGCACATTATTGCCCTTTGCCCAGCACTGGATCAGAACATTTGACCTGTCCTTGGTTTTCAAAGCCTATCACCTCCGTCGTGAAGAAACAGATTGGTTTGACAAGCCCAGGGAGTCTCGTCTGGAGAATGGACATGCCCTTGACAGAAGGCTGCCAGAGAAGTTGTCCCACTCTCGACCACCAAGTCAACACCAAGACCAAGTAAGCTGTCAAGATGTCCCTTTAGTTTTATAAATGTCTGACAATTTAATCATACTGTCTGATAGTGTAGGGACTACAGGATTAATCAAATTGCAGCTACATTCAGCTGAAGTGCTGTTGAACCTGTGTTTGTCATCAGTACTTGATGATGAAATGAGTAACATTTGTCTGCAATTCAGTATTAATCTTGCAGGTTGTCTTTTGATTTTTTTTAATATATCTGGAAGGAGCTATCTTCTAACTAGAACTATATATACATTAGGTATTCCTATTGAGAAGTAATAATAAAGAAAGAAAACTGTCAGTCCCATTTTACCTTAGTAGCTTAATCCCATCCAAATTCAAGCCCTTTCTTTTAATTGTTTAAGGAAAAGAGTTGCTTTATCCTTTGTTTCCACTTTCAGTTGGTCAGTATTATCTCAGCAGTCTGGGATCAATTACTGAATAAATCAGCAAGATTTTATCAATCTAATAATTAGAATGATTCATTTTTTATAGCGAGAAAGAAAAATACCATATTCTGCCTTACACGCTTGACGACTTTGAAACCTAGCTCGCCTGAGTATACCATCACATATCCTCTTTGTATGAATGAAGTTTATGTATTTCAGATCTTTAAAGTCTTCACTTGATTGTTTCAGTTATCATTCTTACTGATTGATTGAGATTATACTCTGTTTTCCATGAGATGCAATGGATGCAAGAGTGAAATGCAATGGATACAAGAGTGAGATGCAATGGATACAAGAGAAGGCGCTGAATGGCCCCTTTGCGATACTTAATAGCTGATATTGCTCATGTTGATTCCTCAGATAACATACAAACAGGAATATCCTACTGTCATGCAGTCTTTGAAACTTTTTTTGCTGGTGAGCATTTTCACTGACATTTAACAATAGAATGTAGTTTTTAGGAAGAAAGGATGTAGTTTTTATGAAAAAAAGCATTCAAATATCTTACAATACAAACTGTCATCTATTTTTATTTTTCTCTCTTTTTCTGATCTCTAGTTTAGCATATATTGAGATCTACACAGCCGCGGTTGTACTGAGCCTACTCATTTCTTGTTGAGAAAGAGGGTTTTACAACATACAAGTTCACAGGAATCTATTCAAAAACTCAGTCTATGAACCAATTTTTTTCAGAAGAAAGGTTGTTTTAGAATCTCCACAACTCTTAATATCACTGGCAATAGATTAAAAACTGCCTATCTGAGCACGTTAATCTTTGTAAGAAGCACGCATTATTCTGAGCGTACATAATTGTATTTGACCACTAAAGAATCATGATGTAAAATTAAAAATCTGCTTTGAAAATCAAGTTTGTCCACGAAGAAGGTTACTGTTATCCTGAGCTCTGTGATATGGAGGTGGTCAGTAAGACATATTTAACTTCTGGCACTCCGGAGCTTTTGCCCTGGGAAACAGCTGCAGGGCAAGTTACTAGTCACAAAGGTCTGATCTTTGTTTTTTCTCCTCTATAAATAGCACTACACTAGACTGGCTGAAAGGCTTTGATCAAAATTTTTTGGGAGGAATTTTAAGAGAACTGAGAGTTCTTGTTTTCTTGGATTATTTCCAGAAGGATTTTTTTTTCCCCTCCCTGAAGCTGTTGTGATATCCCCATGTTTATATGAAATAGATTTAAGATCTCGCCAAAGGCATTTTTGAGGTTTTGTACAATCTGGGATGGAAACTAGAGAGTGAATATGTTCAAAATAATTCTGTGTGGTGCCCTGTAAAGCGTCTGCAGAAGACAAGTGATGTGAAAGGAGAAGCTTTAAAACAGTTCACTCTTCATCTGTTTCTGCCCAAGTTAGCTACTGTCATTCACCCACTGGTACAAAATAGTGTCAGTGTGTCTGCAGGAGGGAGGAATGCCCCTTCTCACCAACTCTGCATCATCTACCTTGTCAAAATGTTACTTGGAGCTTGTATATCTTAAATATCTTCTGTGAACATTTGTTTGAGATAATTTAAAAGAAAAAATCAGACACAGTCAGAAATTAAATTACTTTAAGACAAAATAAAAAGGGTCAGAGCCATTTAAAAAAGTTTCATTATCTCCACATTAAATTCTGAAAGTAAAACACTTAGCAGTAGAAGCAAGTAAATCAGTATCGACATCTTTATTTTTTAGCATTCATATTATATTTTAAAGCTATCAAGAAAAATAAAGCATTTTCAGGCCAATGAGTGTGCAAAGTAAACACTCCCCAAAGGTTTTTTCAGTCCTGTCTCTTCTGTAACAAAGAAGTTAGTGAATTCATTGTCCCATGCTGTCTGCCTCCTGTATCCACAACTCTGTTCTGCACAGAGCGCTGTAGTGTCCAAGCATAATGTACTCTGGAGCCAAAAATGGCAAATTGTTCTTCATCCTGACCATCTGAACAGGTCCAACCTTCACCCAGAGCTTGCTTGGTTGCAGAGGTTTTCCTGAAATCAGTTAGGAGGACAGTTTCCTGGTTAGCATAGTAATTAAGCCATCGCAACTCCTTTAGTACCCTGTATTGAGGGCAAACCAGCCACAAAAGGAAGTATTTGCATCAGTAGCACTAATCTGCTTGTAATGTATCAGCCAAAGTTACCAGATACACTTACTGGCTGTAAACTTGTCATTCATATTTTCTACTTTATAGAAAATGTGAATATTTTACTGACCACTGCGATATTTGTATTACAGAAGATTTTGTTTCACATGTGTGAAACATCAATTTCCTTACTAGAGGAAATCAGAATTGCTTGATTACGTCCCACAGAGTTTGTGCAATTAAAGGTAATAAATAAAGCACAACCCTGGGCTTTTGAAGTAAGAATGCAGTGGAGTGACAACCCTGAACTTCCAGGTTTTTCCATGGATTTCTTATAAACTAGTGGATTAAGCTCACATACTGTATTATTAATATTAAAATATATTTGTTTCTATAGCAACTCCTGTGGTGCTACATAATATTCTTAGATCACATTCAGTTGCAGTGCAGTTTAGTATTTTAATAGCTGTTTCCCAATATAGCGATTCTGAACTGCTTACCTGAGGAGGGTAAACATGGGTTAAACCTAATCAATACATAATCTATTGCAGATTTCTCACTGATCCCTGTTGACCTCAACAGTTTGCTTAGTCACTGCCAGTTGACCAACAACTTCTTTAAATTTCCAGACATCGAGGCTCTTTCTATGGTTATTTTTTGTGCAAATTATTTGTATATTCTGAACTAAACGGGCTATTTCAGACTCGTTGGAAGGAACAGTAGGAAGAGGTGCCAGGGGAGTAAGAGACCGTGACAAGGAGGTGGACAGGGAGAGTATATTAGCAGGAGATAAATAGCTTCTCAGTGAGGGTTTTTAAATACAGAACTTCCAGTCATCATAGGTGGGTCTTTTTAAGCCCTGAATGAAGAATAAAATACCAAACTCATCATAGTACCAGGGTATTGTCATCAGTTCACTTTGGCAACAGTCTTCTAATCACGAAAAGAAGACAAGGGCTCTAGAGATGCAACCTCTTGAATCTTAATCTCCTATTTCTAGAGGCCCTCAAAAAGTACATGCTTGACTCGGTTCATGGGTCTGTACCGTTGCCTTGAAATTTAAGTCACGCCTTTCTGGGGGCACTTGAATATTGAGAAATTATGAAAAAACAGGTCACAATGAGCCATAGGTCATAATGGTTAAAATGAGAAAATACTGTTTGTGACAGAGATCCAAAAGGCTACCTGAAAACTTTTGTTCCACATTTTTTAAGTCCATTTGGTTGTTCTCCAACTAGCAAGGAGGTATCATTTTAATTTATAGTAAACTGCTTTCTCTGTTTGAGGCTTGGCAGGGAAGAAGGTATTTTATAATTCAGATTTTCTATAAATATGATGAGAAATAGGACATTTACAAATTTAATTGTTAAAATATCTAATCTAATGAGTGAATTGTTAGCTACCCCCTCAAGACGGAACTTAGCAGACAGTTTCTCAATTTTCAGTCACACAGAAATGTTATTCTCACTGCATGCCAGAATGACTTCTAAATCAAAAGTCAGAGTTCTGTACTGACCTAATTGCAAAACCAAAGGCCACTCACTTTGCAGTTTATTAATATTATTAATATTAATATTATTCCTTCAATACTTCTTTTGCAAAATAGCTCCATCATCAGGGACCTATTAGCAGAGAGGACTTTCCTCCTTCAGGATTTCTAGAGAACTTTACATTTGTGCTCTGCCAGAGGAAATGTAGCGGTTCAAAGGGGCAGGGTTGCCTTAGCTGTGCAAATTCTTGATGCCAGCTTTCACAGGCCTTGTGCACGCATGCAAGTACCTGTGGTATTCGAAAATTAGGACAGATACTGTCTAACCCATCACCTTGAGCATCCCCCATCTTGTTCACGGATACCTAACTCAGGTAAAATGTCCCTTGAAGACTCTGTTTCCTAAGGGACTACAGCCAGGCGGAGCTGCTGAGGTTCATCTTGTCAGGCCCTGTCTAAGATATCGGTGGGAGGGGAGCTGCAACACCATTTAAAACCAGAAATTACCATAACTTTGATGATCTGACCCAAAAAGCAGTTAATACATTATAGCTGTTGCTATGGGCTTTGCCTGGAATACTAAAACACACTTGATGCATTTTATTTCTTAAACTTAAATACAGCACTAAAGAAATTTATTCTTCTTAATTGCCCTCTTTACCTTATATAATTCCCTTATATGAGGCTTCTATATGAGTTTCTTTATCAGATAAAATGTGTAAAGACAACAAAGGAAAAACAAAGTGTGTATTTAAACTGATGTTCTGTAACAGCCTTAGAAAACCTCAGCACATTTATTTGCCATCCATTTATTTGCCATCCATTCCATTTTTTTGGAGGGGCTTGGAGATGACTAATAACAAGTCATGTGACCAGAGCTTAAATTCCCAGAGGAAACACTTTATGGTCCAGTTTTCATTTAACTCACTGGGATGCAACCCCCAAGGGCCCGCTGAGTAATGTGCAGAAAAATGTGACCCGAGTCCCACGTGAGCTCGAAGAGCACAATAAGAG